AGGTGTAATATATTCTGAACAGTAACTCTGTAAATCAGACTCAAATCTTGCCCAAAATGTATTTCCCAGAATCATACAAAAGGCAGAAATTTGGTGAGAATTTTTTCAATGATTCTATATGCAGTTGGTGTGAGCAAAGACCCCCAAATGCTATTAAACTCCTTAGTGATGTGAACCAGATGGAAAATAAAACAAAAGAATTCACAACTCATGTTAGACTGAATTGAATGTCTTTAATTTCACACAATGAATAACATATGAATAGGATTAACTTTTTTTTTTTTAATAGTTAAGTGCTCTATACTGTGCTAACCTGATCTGGTAGCGAAAAAGACTGAGCTTTCTTTTAGAAAAAATGTTTAAAACCCAACATCTAAGACCATGGAGGAGCATGACAGTAAAGCATGCCAGATGTATCTACGCCTCAAATAACAGCAAGTCCATGTTCATTTTAAATGTACAAAAATGCTTTATGAATAAAAACTGTTACAAAAAGAACATTTCAAACAATGTACAATTTTTCTTGCCTCTATATTCAATAAAATACAAATACATTTTTTGTTCTAAAATATGTTTACATACAATCAAAGTAGAACATGCAAATTACACTTTAAAAAAGGCTTTTAAAAACCACTTATGAATACAAACTAAAAATTAGCCAGCACGACTTGTAAGACAATCTTGTGCCCCATTTTTTTCTTTTGAAATATATATATACATATTTAACACATCATGTGCATTTATTATTATTTAAGAAATAGATTTTTTTTAAAAAAAAAGGAAGAAAAAGAAAGACACCAACCTAAGCTGGAACTGCCCTTCTGTGTTGACCAGTGGCAGCTCTTTTCAATTTTTCCCCCTTTAGTGTTTATTATACCTGGGCAAGTGGGCAAGAGATATCCAGGAAGTTTCTTCCTTGGTTGATATGTGCTTCTAAGACTGTTCCCCAAGTGACTGAGTCCAACAAGGAAGGCAGACTCATCAGTAGGGCAAACTCTCCAAGAAACAAGAGGCAGAGGGAGTCTGGTGTTATGGAAGGAAACTTTAAAAAACACCAAGAAAATGCTACGGTATATTACAGTTCGAGTTTCTAGGCACTGTGATGACATTGTCTGTAAGCTCTGGCGTGTGGACCATTGTGATATTATAGGGTAGAATTGAGAATAATGTCTATATTTATCTACTTTTACATAATGTGAAGGACTGAAAATCCTGCAATGTAACACTTAAATGGCTTTTGAGGCATTTCAGCTTCTGCCACCTCCCCCCCCACCCCCATGCTACAGTTGGCATTTAAAGGCTTTGGAAATATATGTATAGACTTTAGACAGTTCCCAGGTAAATCTTCCTAGTGGTAGGGAAATAATATTCTCCAAAAGCTCATTATCTGAATATTGTCGGGTAATAAGCTGTAGGAGTAGATTTTCTACTTAAGTCCTAAAACCAAATCCTTTATGATCTCCATGTAGTACATCACCTTATACTATAATTCTGTCACCACTTGCTTATCATATTTATAGAACCAGCAATGCCCAGAACACAAACTCCGACTGCCATCGAATGTGGCCTCTCACTCCGGACGGCAGCCAAGTAAACATGCTAATCCTGTCGGCCCTTAGTCACCTACTTGGGGCTGTCAGTGGCTGTTGAGTCCCAGGCCTGTCAAATCACAAGCCAGCCCTGACATGCTCTCCTTTCCTTCAACCTGTCTTCCTCGGGTTGCAGTGGGAGCCAAGACATTAGAGGAAGTTAAACTCTGTTTCTCTCATTTGAGATGAGCGGTTGAAAAACAAGTGGCTCCCCAGCCACTTAGAAAGATGGCTCGGAGACCCATCATCACCCTCAAGGTGATTTTTATACCGATTCCACCCTTTGCTTACCCCTAATCAGACTCCATATAAGTGGGTCCATATTAAGTGCCTCCTTGCTGAAGGCAAGTCTTGGAGGAAACAGAAAAGTAAACCAAGGAATTTCTCTTATTATGAAATACTTTTGGATCGGTTTATGGAGTCTTGTGCATTTTCTCTAAATATGTAGCCACAGAAAGCAGTGTTGAGTGGCTAAGAGACCTCCACAGTGCATGTCAGGAGAGTTGGGTTCTAACACTGGTTCTGCTACCAGTAAGATGTGAAATGAGACTGGCCCCTTATTGAGCCTGGACAGGAGAGGCTAATGCAAAGGGGGTAGTTAGAAAATGAGGAAATGGCCATACTAGAAAGATGAGTTAGGTTAATAGAAAGCAAAAGAAAAAAATCAAAGTAATGCAATACTGAGGGAAGAACTTGATGGGAAAGAGAAGCCCTGCAGGTGACAAGACTTGCATCCACCTCCAAACAGTGGATTCACTTATCTCAGTTTTGCTCCTCTGCAGTTTTCCAATCTAGTTTTGGGATCATAAATGTAGGAGATCTGCATTTGACTCACATGATCACTGGTGAACTGAATTTATGTATAAGGTATAAGTCTGCTGTATCTCTCCTGGAATACCTTTTGTTGGTTTGGAAATTCTAATGTATCCTAGAGTTATTTGAAATTTCTCACCTACTAGAGGTTAATGCCAATTGAGCTTTAGGTCCTTCCTTAAGAAGCTTAGAGAGTGTCAGCTTATTCCTCTCTGCAGGAAGATTTAGTCTGCTCACAGATTTGGTTGGGGAAACAGTACAACACTGGAAGGAAGAAGGGCAAAAGAAAGAATGAAATCAATTATTTTCAAAATCCAACAAGAAAGAAATCTCTTTATGGCTTAATTGGAATGAAAATGGGTATTCTTTCATAGCAAAGGTGGGGTGAGCAGGGATAATTTAAACCTTCCTCTTGAATGACTTTGGAACCACTCAGATATGGCTTGGGAATGACAAATTGAAAGTGGTTGGTTTGATTTTGCTGTTCAACCTGTGTGAAATGCCAAAGGTCAACCTAGGTCATAAACTGAGTATCTAAGATATAAGCTTTGAAGAACAGGAGACTGCATTCCTTTAAACTCACATATGCTGGGATTAAATGCTACTGACACAGTGGCAGCACACGATGTGAAGTCCATGGTGATAGCACACAATAGGATGACTCTGTGGGTAATTTCAACCAACTGCTGGTGCCGTGACAGAGCAGTGATGTTTGCAAGCATATTAACTTGGAATTTAAACATTTACTCTGATAGATAACCCATCCCTTACGCTCCTATGTTCCCGACAAAAATCCTTCTTTCTCTAAGGAAATAATGTTGTATTCTGAAGTAATAATACAATTTTCTGCTGTTCCCAACTTCCTGTAAAGAAGCAATTTGGAGGTAAACCAGATATTCTCATTCTCATCGGAAAATTTAATTCTGTCTCTTAGTGTCTCTCTTTTTATAATCTACCATACCAGGTATTTGATGTCTTAGGGAAGATAAGGGGGAGGTGTGAGGAAGGAAATTGAAAATACTTATTTGAAGTTTCCATATCTGACTTTTAGAAAACATCTATGGCAACGGAATAACTTTATATTCATTCGGAGTTTCTTAACATGTTTTACTTGGGCTGTGGAAATGGGTAAAAGAGATGGAATATCTGTCCACACTAAACCAATGGCTAGAGTACAACTTGGATGAGAAATGTACAGTTGAAATTGACCATTTAAAAGACGATTTGTCACACACAGTTTGCATCCATGCAGACTGATAGACTTATAATTACATTATGTACAATATGTTTCAGTTTATTAAGGCAACCACAACTTGGATACTTTGTCCAAGGTGATGTGATACGATTGGAGTGGTGACACCCTTTGAGCATTTCCTTTCTTTTTTCCCAGATAAGAACACTTAATCCCATCTGCTTTCATGAAAAGAAATAATGGACTTCTATTGTCTTTTTGCTCCCCCCTCCTTTTTTTTCAATGACCTTTGACAGTTATCTGTTTGATAAAAAAATCACACACCAAGGCATTGCTAGACACTTGTCTTTCTGGTGGGTCCGGGGTTTCAATTTTTGGTGATCTGTCAGCTATTCCATTTTCTATGGGGCATTAAAACCATTTTAATCTGTCCATACTTCACTGATACACTTTAAGTATAAAAATAACCTGATTGATACCTGGGTCAATGTATCTTTCATTGCTTTAAATTACTTATTTTAAAAAGGCTCTATCAATACTAAGTATTTGTTTCACAATGACTGGGATTCAAAGCCAAGTTCCTTGGAACAGGATGCCAAGGATGAACATTATGACACAGGTAAGGTTTACATTATTTAGGTATGAAAGGTAATGAAAAGGTACATGGAAGTACAATGTGCAAAGAAAAAGTTGGAACAGATGATGCTAAAAATCAGTATGTGTGGTAGAGGAAACACACAAAAGAGTATGAATGCATGTCTGAGGTTGCCTATCACTAGAATTTCACCCTCCGATGACATCAGTCTATCTGAGAAACCGTATTGTTAACAGAAAGATTCGGGTCACCTGATGATGATTTTGGTGCCCCAAAGCCTAGCCTAGCTCGAAAAACCAGAAGAAATAAAAACCAATTAAATGGAAGTGGATTACAACAAAGCCAGTTGAGAAATTTGCCGCTTTTCTCCCCTTGGAATGTTTCCTAATTGAGGGCGTTTCCCTTTCAATCTTCCTGTCCAGTAACTGCAATGGAATCAAGGGTGCACCTTGGCTGCAGGAGGTCTGGTGGCTTTCAGGGAGCACCACCATCTTTTTCCTCCGGGATGGGTCTCCTGCTGCCTGTGAAGGATCTAGCCATTCTGAAGTGCTGCTTGGTGGGAACTGCTGTGGAACACACACGCACGCGCGCACACACGCACGCACACACCCATTCTTTTGAAGACGTCCCCTTGCTTTGCTTTGCCAAGAGCTCCTGAAGGCTCAACCCCGTCCTCTGGCCCGATTCTGCCCCTGCCCAGCTTCTGGAGAGCAGGGCATGGTGTCCCTGCGGCGGGGATTCCGCCCAGCCTGGCTCACTGCACTTCCAACGCGTCAGTCCACCCCCGGCCCCAGGTTCGGACCCACCCTACGGAAGGACATCGCTCTCACTCCCTCGCGACTTCCTCTGCCTTTTGGCTTTCACTTCCTCTTCCGGGGGAAGGGGCTGTGGCGGGGGCGCCTGCTGCGGGGGCTGGGCCGGAGGCTGAGGTTTGTGTTTCCTCTTCCCGCCTCCTCTGGGGGTCTTGGGCAGAAGGGGCGGGGGCGGGGGCAGGGGCGGCGCCTCCCGGGCCATGTGGATGACGGCCTCGATGGTGGCCATGATGGTGTCTTGGCTGGCGGCCGGCTCCAAGACGAGCGGGCTCAGGCTCGGCTTCTGACCCCGTTTGCTGGGAAGGTCGATGCATTTTTCCAGCACTGGCATTTGGTCTCTGGAGTCCTCATCGAACTGCGTGGGCTGCTTCCGGGGACGCCCTCTCCTCTTCTTGACGAAGTTGTTGCCCGTCTTTGATTGTCTCTGCAGCCGCTTGGCCTTCAGGATCTTGTTCACGTGGTCCAGGTTCTTCTTGGTGGACAGAATCTTGGTGTAGTTGCACATCTTCCGCACCTCGCACTGGATCGCTTCAATCTCCCGCCGCTTAAATCGCTTCTTTAGGGAGGAGCTGGCTGCAGGAAGGGAAGAGAGAAGAAACTGATCACAGGATGCAGGCTGTCTTAAACCCAGTCTTTTCAGTGGTAACTGGCATTATATTTGGCTATGAAGATGATGGAAAGTTGATGCTATGACTCACTACCCACTATTAATTCTTTTTTATTAAAATTAAAAAAATAGAAATAAACATGGGTTGAATAGTATGTGTACAAAGTATATCATTATTTCATTCTCCACAGAAATCCCATGAAATACTCTTCTTCCCATTTTTAAGTCTGGAAATAGGCTCACACCATGTAGAAAGATCTGCCAAGGAAGTCAATGTCAGAATCACAATATAAAGTCTTCCATTGTTGTTTTTCTATTATAGCTTTTATTTTTTTATTCAGCTCTCTGACCTCTGATCTAATTTAATTTAGCATTAGGCTATACTTTTTTTTTTTTTTGGTAAAAGATGCTGAAAGGATACAATGACAAGCAACCCTCTGGATCAGAGAATCTGGCTCATTCGTTTGTACCATCAACCTCAAAAAGGAGATGCCTTGACCTGAACTAGAATCTGGAACTGAACCTATTATATCCCTAATCATCCTCCCCTAACTGACAGAGGGAGAATTCTTTTAGGAACACTATATTTGGGATGACCCTATCTCTGTTAATTCTGCTCCCCCCACAATGGTCTGGACTTGTCAACTTGCCTGATGATGTCCAATTGACCAGATCTTTCTTAACTAGTGCAACTTCTGGAATCCCCAAGGAAAATACCAGCCAGGTGTTTCTGAATCATTTACACCCCTGCTACTGGGCTGTTGTTTGCGAAGAACTCTTTTCGTGTCCTGGTGGCCAGATGCACCTCTATTTTATGAGCCCAACTTCTAGTCACAGGAAGTCCTGTACTGCCGCCACTAAATAGCCTTCAGAACTGCTTCATTTTCAAGTTCAGACACCATAAAGTGTGAATAGCTTCAAGATGGAGCAGACCTTTCCTCTAGATTGTTCTTCCTCCTTGTGTTGTTCACTAGAGGCACACCTGTATATACATGTGTATACACACATACACACACAGGCACTCACACACATCGAGCTGCCCTATCTTCACATTGGCTCCTCTCTCTGGCCACTTCCAAGCATAAAAAGTCCTTAGTTCTTTGCTGCTGTGATTTACGCTAAATGTTGTCATCAACACTACAAAAACACTGCAGGCCTAAAAGCAAATGTGTTTCATTTTAGCATGGTGGTTTGTTGTGTCATCCTGCATTTTTTCAACTGTTAGTGGAGAAGCAGAATAAATATCTTAAGGGAGATGAGGAAAAACTGGCAAAAACACAGACAGCATTGTCACTTACTCTTGGGCACTCTGGCATGATTCTTCCCCTGCTTTTCCCCATCTCTCTCTCATGCTGTGCCTGACACAGATCTCCTGGAGGGTTTTATTTGAAGTTATTTATGCCATAGGCTTCATGGAGTGGGAAGCTCTGAGTTCCATAGGACAGGCCAAAATGGTACTGCTTTTGGCCAAAGGTCATTGTGAGACTTACTGTGCAATGAATACCTACTGAACAATCTTTAAAATAAGTTATAAAGATCAAAATAGAACAAAGCCAGAGTGAGCTTCTGACTACAAAATAGAATTTTTGTAGTTAGTGTTGTAAAAAGAAAAGCTTGCTCAATTGTAAGTTTTCAGACACAGAGGCCAACTTCTGTTGGTCTTCATGTCCCTCACAGGGCATGCCATGGTGCCTCATACATGGAAGGGATTTAAAAATTGTTTCTTGACTGATGAATCACACTGATCATTGCTGTCTTATATTCTTCTCTAAAGGAGTTTTAGTTTAGATTTTTAAACTGACCATTCCAAATAACTGACACTAACATCAAGTTTCCATGTCAGAGCCAAGTCATTTACCTTGTCCACTCTGCTCGTGAGGAAAGGAAAACTTGTCAGAAATACTACACAAAACAATTAGCATCATTCCAAAGAAAAGTTCCACTAGCAGTTTACCTTCTTTTTAGTTTATATCATCCAAAGAGAAGAAAATGCTATGTGACACAAAATAAAGCATGCAGTTCCAAAATAAATCATTTGGGGCAATTAGCTGGCAACATTCAATGATTAAAGCTTGACTGGAAAACTGTGAGCTGAACTGGAGGTCATCTGGAGCAAATACAACCAATGAATATTTCATCTCAGTACTTTTTAAGCATGAAATGTCAGACAAACAAAAAGGAACATAGTAGATAATCCCATATTCAATAATTTCTTATATATATATATTTTTATTAAACCCTTGCATTAAAAATTATGAAATAATTCATTCTAAGTATTTTAAACTTACCAAACAATACTAAAAATACTATAACCGACTCTTTTGTACCCACCATTCACATTTAATAAGCATTACTTTTTGCCATATATGCTTTAGAAAACATTAGAGTCAGTTCAGTCAGTGCTCCATCATCAATTCTATTTCCTTCCCTTTCCCTGGTTGAATTTGTACTTTTACTGCATATATGTGAACTCATATCGGTAAAAATTAAAAGTCTGAGACTACCTGATATTTGTAATTCTGTAAGGAAGTAGGAAGACTTGCACAATGTTGGCAAGAAAGCAAATTGTCGGGATCATTTTGGGAACTGATTGGGCAATAACTACTAGCATTGAAAATGGGCATGCCCAGTGCCCCAGAGATCCCACAGCCAGGTTGCCTCCTTTGCTCATGTGCGACAGGAGGCTGATGATGTCCCCTGAAGCTCAGTGTATGTTACAGAAGACTTAAAACAATCTAAATATCAATTTAAAAGGTAATGAATCACTGCGAGACATTCACCCAATGAAATACTGCACATCTGTTAAAAAGAATAAACTACATATCAACATGGCTGAATCTAAAAACAATTGAATAAAAAAAGAAAATGAGTGTTTGTAACCATACCACTTATGTAAATTAAAAACACACAGATCCCTTGAATTTTTATCTCATTTTCAATGACCAGGTGTGAAAGTTTAAAGTGACTCCTATGCAGATTAATTGAGTCAAAGACTGAGTGGCTGAGATTTCAACATTTCTTCCCTCCAAAGCTACCTCATGGGACTTTATTACACCTCTAGAGTAGCATTGCCCAATAGAAATGTCTGCAGTGGTGGAATTGGTCTGTATTTATGCTGTCTCATACAGTAGCCATTTGGAGAAGGCAATGGCAACCCACTCCAGTACTCTTGCCTGGATAATCGCAGGATGGCGGAGCCTGGTGGGCTGCCGTCTATGGGGTCGCACAGAGTCAGACATGACTGAAGTGACTTAGCAGCAGCAGCATACAGTAGCCATTAGCCACATGTGGTTACGGGGCACTTGACATGTGGCAAGTGTGACTGAGGAATTGACTTTTTAATTTAATTTAAAGTTAAATAGCTACATGGGCTAGTGGCTAACATATTGTGCAACTCAGCTCTAGCCCAAGGACCATAGAATACTGAGGACACACAGGAATCATCCAGTAAAGCACAGACTTTGGGAAGCTCCTGGCAAACAACCTGGTGCCTCAACAAATAAGTGAGGAGGAGAGGAGGGTAGAGCTGTAAATTAAAAGAGAGAAGATATAAAATGACCACATGTGGATGCCAATTTAAACAAACTGTCAAGAGATCCTTTATAAATTCATGGAAATTTTAATAATATCTAGGCATTTCTTGATATAATTGTTGCTAAGTTTCTTAGGTATGATAATTGCACTGTGATCATTTTTAAAAGTACCTTCCTTTTAGAAATACCTACTAAATTATTAATAGGTGAAATCATATGATATCATCTGGCCCTGGCTTCAAAATAATAAAGGAAGGAAGAGGGGAGTGGAAGTATTCCTGAAACAAGATTGCCATGAGTTGATTATGTTGAAGCTGAGTATGCTATCCTACTCCTCTGATATATACTTGCTAGTTCCATAATACATGGTTTAAAAATAGAAATAATTAGTGTCAGTAAAACATCTTTCTTAGGATCTTAGGATTGCTAAGGGTCAGAGTGTTCTGCTTTTCATACTCTTGGGCTCTATTTTACCTAAATAACTTTAGAAGAATAAGAAATGTCCTCAGTAAAGGTCATATATCATCTGGAAAACTCCTGCTGGTAGCTATCCTCCTGGCTGAGTGGGGTGGGAGAATGAATGAGTGCTCTGGGTTTTATTTTCTAACTAATTGCATAAACATGCGTCATGGTTCAATCTCCATTGATGGCCTCATGTGTTAAGACTAAATATCCCTCTTTCTTTTTTATATTACAGCTTTTGAGGGGTTTCCCATCAACTGAACATCTGAATTGTATTGTATCCTATAAGTATTATCCAAACTTCTAGTGCGAGCTCATTACTTTGTGTGTGAATAGCACCAGAGTACAGGTCAGTAGGAAGGGCTCTGGGTAGGGACAGCTGGAAACCAAGTTGAATTAGGATGAACCTCTTAGCTCCTTTTGGGTCTCTGAAGAATTGAATTTTTAATTTAAAGTTAAATAGCTACATGGGCTAGTGGCTAACATATGGGCAGCTCAGCTCTAGACCAAGGACCATAGAATACTGAGGACACACAGGGATTATCCAGTAAAGCACAGACTGTTTTTTCATCTGTTACATTGAACAGTTAAGACTAGATGCTCTTAATGTCCCCTTCTGTATTTAAAGATTGTTATAATTCTTTCCTATGAAAGAAAGTGAAAGTTGCTCAGTCGTGTCCGACTCTTTGCGACCTCCTGGACACTACAGTCCATGGAATTCTCCAGGCCAGAATACTGGAGTAGGTAGCCTTTCCCTTCTCCAGGGGATCTCCCTAACCCAGGGATCGAACCCAGGTCTCCCGCATTGCAGACGGATTCTTTACCAGCTGAGCTACAAGAGAAGCCCAAATTCTTTCCTATACTAATTATCAATTGCCTTACCAAATGTGAGGTGGCTTTCTACAACATTTATTTCATCTAATAATTTTGAAATCCTAGTGTGGTGGAGAGGAAGGCTTTGGATTTGGCAG